GAAAGGAAAGGAAAGGAAAGGAAAGGAAAGGAAAGGGAAGGGAAGGGAAGGGAAGGGAAGGAAAGGGAGGGGAGGGGAAGGGAAGGGAAGGGAAGGGAGGGGAAGGGAAGGGAAGGAAGGAAAGGGAAAGGAAGGGTAGAGAAGTGAAGGAAAGGGAAAGGAAGGGTAGGGAAGTGAAGGGAAGGGAAGGAAAGGAAAGGGAAGGGAAGGGAAGGGAAGAGAAAGGAAGGGAAGGGAAGGGTAGAGAAGGGAAAGGAAGGGTAGGGAAGGATGGGTGGGTGCAGGTCCCAAGAGAACCCTGAAGAGGGAGGCTGGGCTCAATCCCCAGGACAAAGATGTCAAGAGAGGGCTGAAGCGTGGAGTGGAGATGTGACCTCAGATTTGCATTTTAGGTCTGGAATCTACTGACAAGGTTGGTAGGGAGGGTGGTAAGGAAGATCTGTGACACAGTGGGATTAAGATGCTGGAAGTCCTACACTGGTCTCACAGTAACTGTGGGACAAGCTAGCTTCTCTGGGCTTCAGTTTCTCAATGTTTAGAAGGGGAATAATGACATGAGCTTCTTCTGTGAGCCCTCCCTGAGATTCCACACGCTTCTGCAGAGACCGCTGGGAACAGTTTGTGTTAATGTAAGTGAGCTCTCAGCACACAGATCAGGGGGCATGACCTGGCCAGTCGCTGTTGTGCCAGCATTTGCGATTGAGCCCACCCTTGCTGAGCTGGTAGGAAAGGCTCTGTCTCATCCGTGTGGTATCTTCTCCACGCAGCCTGCTTCTCTTCCTTCTCCTCTGCGGAGCCTCTCAGTGCCCCTGGGTTTAGACTTTTGAAAAGACAAGCTAAGAACGTTTGCCGGATGCCTTTCTTCTATCCTGCCGCATACCTCTACTGGAGCAATGAGCACAGAGTAGGTCCTTGCTGGACCGAAGAAAAGGGCAGAAAGAAACTACAGAGGGAGGAATAAAACATCACCATTATCTCAGCAACCATCAAATATCGTAATCGTTGTCATCTCAACAAGAGCAACTCAAGGTGCAGGGGACCGGCGCTCCAGAGGAGGGGCACGTCACCTAGGCAGCAGTCAACTGAAAGAGTGGCCATTGGAGAGGCAGCCCCTGCGAGAGTGGGAGGACAGCACTGCCTTGAATTCCCCTCCGTGGCGCCACCACAGTGTAGCCCATGTTAGCTCTGCCCTGCCTGCGTCTTGCTTCAGAAGCTGTCTGTGTTACCAAGGAGCCAGCAGCTACTGCGTTAGGCGGTTGTCTCAGCATTTTGCATACAGGGCCTCGTTTAATCCTCACAGCAGTTCTCAGAAGTAGCTCCACACTTCATCCTCTGTTTACAGATGAGGAAACCATCTCAGAAAAGACTTCTGAGAGGTGACTCTAGGAAGACCCCGGGGGACATGGCCATTAAGAGGTCAACATGAGGAACTCCAGAAAGAAAAAAAAAAAAAAACAACCTGATCACACCTTGACCCCCACAAGAGATCCCCTCACCTCTGCAGCCATGGGACATCCCTGGAAGCATGGGATGGACACGTGTGCATGCCATGCAGAGGCCCAGATTCAGGTCGCTAACACAGATACATGAGGACAAGAACACACTCCTGTGGATATGGCCAGATGTGTGCTTTCCAGGAAAGCTCAGACACAGCACCACTGACACATTCCTGCAGTCCCTGTGCCTCCTCACACACGGTGAGCATTGCACACTGGCATGCACACCCGCTCCCTCCCAGGCAATGCACTTAAGCACCCACATCACACTGTACCTCAGATCTTTGCACACAGGATATATACAAGCACACACACACTCACACCCATGGAGTCAATAGGGACCGAGAGCCTGATTATGGGGGTGGGGGAGAGGCAGACCTTGGAGAGGAAGCAGTCAGTAGGACAGGGAGGCTCCTTCAGAGAGTGCCAGCCAGTCAGAGGCAGAAGTTTATTATCTCACAGTTCTGGAGGTCAAAAGTTGGGGGTCAAGGTATGATCAGGTTGTTTTTTTTTTTTTTCTTTCTGGAGTTCCTCATGTTGACCTCTTAATGGCCATGTCCCCCGGGGTCTTCCTAGAGTCACCTCTCTGTCCTTGTCTGTGTCCTAACTTCCTCTTCTTTCAGGATATCAGTCATACTGGACTAAGGCCCAGATTAATGACTTCATTTAACCTTAATCACCTCTTTAAAGACCACATCTCAAAATACAGTCACAATACTGGGGGTTAGGACATGAACATATGAATGAGAGGGCGACACAATTCAACCTGTAGCAGGGAGCTTGCTTCCCATGGGGTGGGCAGTCACAACCCACAGAAGTAGAAAATGGTTTGACCACAGTAGGGCTATGAGCAAAAAGGGGCTGAGAGATAATGGGGAAGACTGGAGCCACTGGTGCCTCAGGAAGGGCGGTCGTAGCAGTCAGCGGAGCTCTGGCACGGGCCAAGTCTGCTCCCGCCATGTCTCCAGACTCCACACCGGGCAGGCCCAGTGTAGGGCTCAGCTAGTGTGCTGCTGGGGGATAGACGAGAAGGGTAGGGCTCCTTGAGGCTGAGGAGGCCGAACTCTTGTGTAGGAAAGCCCTGGAAGACAGCTGGGTGAGGCAGGGCCGTGCCTGAGAGCCTGGGTGGTCAGGCAGGATGCAGATGGCCTGGCAGGAGCCCAGAACTGAGGCTGACTAGGGAGAAAAATAGGAGGACAGAGGGGCTGAGGGCTGCCCTGAATGCCAGCTCTGGGCCTGCTGCGTGACTTGGGGCAAGTTACTAACCTTTCTGAGATGGTTTCCTCATCTGTAAATGGAGGATGAAGTAGGGAGGTACTTCTCAGAATTGCTGTGAAGATTAAAAGAGGCCCTGTATGCAAAGTGCTGAGACTATTCCCTAGCACATAATAAGTGCTCAGCTAACACTGGCTAATGTCCTCATGACTGTTGATATTCCTTTGGAAAACAAGCACACTGCACCCCTGAATCATCTTTGACTCCACTTCTCCCTTATCACACACATTAATGAATCCCTGAGTCCCTGTCACTTCTGCTTTTTCCACCTGCTTGGGTCTGACTGCACCCCACCTGCTTGCTCTTCAGACCTCACCTTATCCCCCTGGAAGTAGAGCTAGGACAAACAAACAACAGAAAGCCATGGGATAAAGAACTGAAAAAACCAAAAAGAGCAAGGGCAACTGTGTTAAAATATCAGAAAACCAATAGAAAAAGTCACTCTGCCTCCCCCCACAACCCCCAGCCATGCCCCAAACCAAAAGTGCATGACCTTGGCCTCCTCCGGCCTCCTTTGCACTGTGGTTTCAATATCACCCCTCCACACTTCGGATGCCATGACACTTCCTCTAAAAACATTGTGTGGTCAAAACTCTCCCTCTTGACACATGCTTAAATCAGATACTCTGTTGGGCCATGACTCCTGTCAGTTCCCATCTAAGATCCTCCCATAATCTGAGGACCTTAAGAGACCCAGTACCTGCCCCTGTTGGGGCTGTGAGTGCTTCTCACTGGTCTGTTTGCACCCTGTGGAGCGAACTTTCATTTCTAATAAATCTTACTTTTGTTACTCCTTTTGAGTGTCCTGCCCTATTCTTTGTTTGGAATACCAAGAATCTGAGCACAACTGCCCTAAGGTCGCCAGCAGATGACACCAGCAGCTTCTCCTGGATTCCCTTCATCATCAGCCCAGCCGCTCTCTGCACTGGCTTCCAGTCAATATCCAATGGATGACTCTTGGCTTAAAGTCGTTCAGCACATGATACCACACACATGATAAAGGCACTCAAGATCCTTCAGGTTCAGGCCTCAAATTTCAGCCTCATCTCCAGCCATAGTCAGCACACACACACTCCACAGGATAAGGCTCTCTCTGGCTGCTGCAGACCTGAGTGCCTTAGTGCCCATGGACCCTCTACTGGAAGGCCTTCCATCTCCTCAGCCCTGACTTCTCAGATTGACACTTGTTCCAGGCTGAGCCCAAGGCCCAGAAGTCATGAAGCTACCCTGACTGCTCAGGCCAAATTCGCTGAGTCAACTTAACTCCTCATGGTGCCCCTGCAGAGTCAAGCTACTTCCTGGGACAGTTTTAGGCTTCTTTGCTGAGTTCTTTAGGAATGATTAGGTTGCTTTCACCCACACAGATTGGCTCATTTTCTTGGACATGCTCCAGTGGCTGTGTGGTGTCCCAATCCTGCAATGCTGATGCTTTTCTCAGTCTTAGATACGAGCAAACCAGCTCACCAGACTGCATGATCTGCCCAAGCTGACATGACTAGCTGCCTCACACCCAGACTCCTTCCTGCACAGGGTTTTGCTCCCCACCCTGGGCCACCGCTGAGACCCAGCTCAGACATCAGGCTTCCCCCAACCCTGCAGAAGAGCATGCCTCCTCCAGGAGACTGTGGGGAGCAGGCCTGCCTAGAAACAATGTGACCTCTAAAATCAGCATTGTCAGCACCTTTCGTGAGATGCAGTTTTGTGAGTATTCACAAAGGAAATTCCATATTGGTTGGTAGAAATGATGTGTTTGCCAGGATGCCCTGCTGGGACCAGGACCTGACCGTAGAAGCCCCAAGCAAATCCATAGAAGTAAATCCTGGATGCCTCTGGGGGCATCTGGTGGAGTTCCTGCTTGAAGTAGAGGGTTAGAAAGAGACCTGTGGGGGAGAAACAAACCAAGGCCTATGCGGGTCTCAGTCTGGACTCAGACTCTCCCATGTGTACGTATGGCAGTGCAGCCTCAGGCAGCCCCAAGCACTGGGAGGGACTTGGACATTTAGAGGAAGCACCTGGAAGTGTCTGAAAGTGGCACAGGAGCAGGGCCTGTGCTTGCCCCGCTCAAGGACAGTAATGGCAGAGGCCATACCTATGTTATTCACCACTGGGGCATCTTAGTCATGGGGCTATAGACATGGCCCAGTATGAGCCAGGGAGTAATGGAGTTGCTAAGGTGTGGGTGGTATTAGTGGAGTAGCAGTCTCCAGATTAAGGAAAATCAGTATCTGCTATTCTTTGCTGACTGGTCCATACGTAGAATTAAGCATTAGCGATAAGCTTCACATTGGAAGAGGAGCAAGGAGGAACTGGAAAATATTTAGCTGTTAGAAGGCTCGTTACATGGAAAGAAAAGGAAAATTAATATTTTGAGACTCCAGAGAGCAGAGCCAGAGTAGAGAGCTATGAATGGGGAGATTCTTAGCTAGATTTTAGCAAGTTTATTCTAATAATCCCAGCTATTTAGAAATGGACCCAGATGCCTGTGTAGATAGCAAGGGTTCTATCTCTGGACAAACGTAGAGGTGGGCCATTCTCTGGGAGGCTACTGAGCAGATTCCTGTCCCAGGAGTGGTTCAGCTAACAACCCTTTCAGGTCTTTCAGACATCAAGATTATGACACTAATCCTTCCTGGAGCATCTGTCTTGTACTGGATACCATGCAGGTGAGAAGAGAGTCAGCCCCAGGCCTGAGTGCTTGTACTCAGCTGGGCAAACAGAGAGGGCCCGGGCATGAGAGTCACCACGGAGCAGTGGCGGTGCTCAGGGCTATGGGAACAAGAGCTGGGAGCCGTCTTCCACCATTCATAAGTAGGTCTCGGAGGGCCTCTGCTGTGGCCTCTCAGAGCAGTGCTTCTCGGCAGAACTTTCATCAGTGCTGGGAACGTGTTATATCTGCACTCTTCAGTACGTTGGCTTGGAATGTCCTGTGACTGAATTTTTAATGCCATGTCGTAGCCCTGTGTAGGGAGTGCCCCACGCATGGGGCGGCACAGATGTGGAGCATTTCCGTGGTTGCAAGAAGTGCAGTTGGACAACACTGCTGGAGTTTTGACAGGCTGCGCAATGACCCTGAAGGCCCTTTCTTACTTCCCTCATGGTGTCGATCCTGTAGAGAGGGAGGGCTTCAGACTGGACAGACCAGCTTGCTGTGGGACTTCAGATAAATCCCTCTCCCTCTCTGGGCTGTACCACTAATAAACTGAGGACTCAAACAATAAAGCCTTTAAAAAATTATTTTAAAATAAAGACTGTGGGTCTAGCCTTTGGTGACTTCTCTTCTCTCCTTAGAGAAGAGGAAATCTTCACTCTATCCCCCGTGTCCCTTCTTCCTCTCTGTTGACCCCAATCTTCTACCACCCAGAGCACAGCTCCCAGCGACCCGAAGAACTTTTGTATTTACCGCTTAGCACTTGCTGTTCGGGTCTCTGACCTTCTTTAGAAACTTTTTCTTTACGAGTTTATTTTGGCTTGTGCTGAGCATTCATAAAATTCCTAGGGAACTGGAGGTTTAAAAGTCAGGCTTGTAAAAGGAGTAGG